GTAGTAGCGTATGCAAGTCGCTCTTTAACTACTGCTGAAAAGAATTATGCAGCAACGGAAAAAGAGTGTCTTGCTGTAGTCTGGGCCGTTTCATATTTTAGGCCCTATCTTCATGGGTCCCATTTCACTCTTTACACTGATCATTCGGCGTTAAAATCGTTATTCTCTCACCGGTTACCCCAAAATCGACTGGCCAGGTGGATCCTGACCTTGCAGGAGTATTCATTCACCACCATTCACAAGTCAGGAAAACTACACCTTAACGCCGATAGTTTATCCCGAATCTAAGACAACCCACCGGAAGATATATTTTCACCTCTTATTGCCATACCGACATCACTTACGGATACCCCATTTTGATTTTGACGGACACTATGGATTTAGAAACGTATAAAACTTTTATAGATTACCTTAGCAGGTCTAAGGTACCCCCATACACTAGTAACCAAGTAATGAAACATAGGATTCGACATTACTTCATCCGAAGTAAATTACTTTATAAAACCAACCCACGTGATCCCGAAAGACCTCAGAGAGTCTTAAAGCCTCAGGAAGTTAAACCTATACTACATGCTATGCATACTGACCCCTTAGCCGGACATTTTGGATATGAAGGAACTTATCAGCGGATAAGGGTCAGATATTACTGGCCTCAAATGGGAAGCTATATAAAACGATATATCGAAACATGTGACACCTGTCAAAGGCAAGGGAGGCCTAGGACTAGGGAACCCCTACACCCAATAAAAGTGGGACAGCCCTTTGACCGGATTGGCATTGATATTGTAGGACCACTCCCAGAAACACCAGAAGGATATCGATATATAGTTGTTGCCACGGACTATCTTACCAAGTGGCCGGAAGCACGAGCACTTAAAAATGCTAATGCTGAATCTGTTGCCTCTTTTCTTATAGAGGATATAATATGCCGTCACGGAAGTCCCCGTGAGTTACTCTCTAACCAGGGTACTCATTTTTGCAATACACTAGTAGACGCTATCTGTAAGCAAATGAAAGTTCATCGCCGTACATCCGCAGCCTACCACCCCCAAGCCAATGGATTGGTAGAGAGATTTAATCAAACTTTATGTGGAGTATTGGCTAAGTGCGTAAGCCAATACGTTGGAAATTGGACCGAATTTATTTCTACAGCCTTATTTGCTTATCGAACTACACGACACCATACTACTCGGTATGAGCCTTTCTTCTTAGTTTATGGTCGAGATGCTGTATTACCGGTCGAGACCGTTGTAGTGACCTATCCGGCTGAGCCAACTACCGAAACTGAGACTCAAGACTATCTTTTCAGAAGAATTGAGTCTCTTCTAGGGAACCTAGAAGATGCCCGAAACCAAGCCCAAGAAAATGTTAGAAAAGCCCAAAGCAAACAAAAGGCTCATCACGATCGGAAATACCGGATCGAAACTTACCAAATTGGTGATCAGGTGTTGCTTCATGAGACCTCACTAGATACGTCATACAGTGCTAAGCTTGAGCCGAAGTTTACAGGACCTTATTATATACATGAAGTTTGTGGGAATGGGTCTTATAAGTTAAGAACGATGAAGCCCACTTTAAACAATAAGCCCCTTAAAAGCGAAAGAGTTCTTAAGAAACGGATACATAGAAACCGGTTGAAAAGATATATCACCGCCTCTTCACAATAGGATCCCAATTCTTATAAAAACCCGACCATTGAACCTTGAGTGAGACAATTCTTTACACCTTCTCAAAAGATGCAACAACTTGAAATCAACTCAAAGTTTCTAAAACATGTTTTTCAATTAAGAAAGCTGTTTAAAAATACCAGCGTGGCCGAAGTTCGCATAACGGCTACCGAAATTTCTTTCGTCGACACCCAGGGAGAATCGGTGTCTATAGGGTTTTCTCAAGACATCACCACCAATCCCTTTTCAAGGGCTCTAAATAACTATGTTGGTGACCTACGACGTACTGAGATACCGATCCGGCGACCTGAACCTGTCCCACAGGGAACTTGGGCCGAAAGACTTGATCATATATGTGAAAGGATTCTCAATAGTAAGAATGATCAAGTCAGCCTCTTGCAGCACTATTACCGGTTAGGTGAGTGCTTAGAAGAAACTGCGGAGGCCGCATGGAGTTCAGGGGAAGCCGCGTGGAGTGCAGTGGCTCAAAATGCACTGCAAGAAAGGATAGCCGGTCAGAAAGGAAAAGAAGTCTGGAGAATAGCTGCTAGGGCCTATGAATTATACCAGACTAGGGGGTTTTATAACCTCCTTGGGAATAAGTTTATCTCAGCTCATGCCCTTTATAGAATGACCAAAGAAAATTTCCAAGCCCTGGTAAAAGAGGCACAGAAAGTAAAAGCCAAAGAGTTAAAAGAGTTTCTTGAAGGAACCTTCGCAGGAGCTCAGGATTAAGGAGGGGAATGTCACGAGTTTCGTGACGTAGGAGTTGGGCTTAGATAGTTTAATTTATTTTATTTTATTTTTATCCTTTTATTGTT